TGATAAGTCAGGCGACTCCATCAGTATAGAAAGCAAGTTGTATAGCACGGAAGCATCGCAAACAAAGCCGTTTCTATGCTGAGACACCACGCACTTTCCTAAAAGTAGCCGCGAATCTTTCAGTAAGGAAAACGCATGCTCCAGCATAGAATCATCATATTTTACAAAGCTAAGTCGATACTGAACAGCGCATTTGCTTGCTAAATATCTCTGGCAAGTTGTTCTTCTACACTATAGACTGTAAAGCGCCGTGATGTACTCACAAAACAACTCAGATGAATATTCCAGATGGACTATTACAAGGGATCTCTCGGGGTTCCTTTAATAATGGTGGAGGTTTAGGCATGGATGATGAACTGGACTTTGTACACATTGCACTCGACTACATATGATTTTCGCCGTGGTTGCGTACTTGTGCCGACAACACTTTTGGCAGCGCAGCTTGGGTTGCTTTTACTCATTGACCGAAACTTCGTTCTCAGGGTTGATGGTTCAGCGTCGAGGGTTTAGGGTTAGGGAATTTGGTTCTATTTAGGTGGGTCTGGTGTTGAGGGCTTTGGATTCGTGGTCGAGGATGGGGAGGAGCTGATGGACCGACCCCTCCGGGAAACGCTCCGTACCCAAGATCGCGAGCCACAGATGCGAGACCTGGGAGTGCTGTTGCCTCGCCTCGGAGATCTAGGAGGTTTGACTTCCACTCTAATGCGGGGTCCACCTCTCGAAAATCGTGAACATAGAATAACCCCTGGATTTGAGGTTTTGGGGTAGACTCAAAGCAAAGTCCAAACTCCTTTCGCCTCTCATTGGGCACAGGGTGGGGATGCTCAAGGCGATAACCATTATTGTCATTATCCCTATTGGGCTACGCGACGGGTTGCTCTTTTTTTCTGAAACGCCCCAATGGTGATAGATGTGATGTTGCTGGTCGGCGATCCACTGCGGTCCAGAGACGGCTTTTCAGGTGTACCTCAACATCTAGCACCCCCTCGCCTGCCAGCCACGGCCTCTGCATTGCTGCGTGGGCATCGCAGATTTCGACATCAATGTTCGGCTAACTTTGCAGACGAGTCTCTGTACTGTGACAAGAGCTGTCAGTATCACTCTACTTCAGCTCTAAACCGAGAAGACCACATCCGGATCCGACCGACGTCTTGCGGCATTGAGTTCTCCTTCGCGTAGCATGCCGTCCAGTCGACTATTGTAAGTTCAGAAAGAGTACATCACCCCGTCGCGCAGCCACGAGACTCCAAGGAGGTCGTCCATGTTGGCATCCTGTCCGCATCTCCTCATCCCAGACAGCGCAGAAACTTCGAAGAAGAACCTGTCTGCATCATGCGGCGTGCAAGGGATTGCCGTAGCCTGCTCCCCTGTTCTTTCGTATCAATCCGAAGGATCCCAAGAAACGCAAACTTGAAGTCTCCGGCTCATATCGAGGTCCGAGGCAAAGCTTGACAGCGAGTATCGCAGGCCGCTTGCGGGGACATGAGAACCACTGGCATTGGGGGAGTGTCAGATTGTAGCGCTTCTGGCCGCACAGTGCATTCGCAAGTAAGAAGTGCTCCAACACGCTGAGTGACTAAGTAGGATTAGACAGAGCTTGGATCCGAGACATCGCGTGCGCGGCTTTCTTTCCGGGGTTGATGGCTCGCTTGGAGAAGTTCCTTCCCAGCTCGGAAAGAGCTGAGCTCCTGAACATCTGCAGTTCAAGCTCCACCCTCATAAGAGTCATAAGAGTGTGTGCTTCAATTCGATTACTGCGACTGTGTTTTAACCTCTGTACATCTTCCATGCCAGAGGTGCCATAAAGCAGGAGGATACACAGGAAGTTCAGCCTTGCTCAGTTGACCTTCTGCATTGTCTGCGCGGCTTCACCCTCCACGGTCCTGCCTGCCCTTTGCATCTTCTATTCCCTGCCCCTGGTATCACATCGCGTTTTGTCCAGAAGACAGCAAAGTAGCGAAAGCAACTCCAACGATCGCCGCAACACGAATCCTCCGCCTCGGCCTTAAGCCACATGCAGAGACAAGCTGTCCCAAAGGCCCCCGAAGGCCGTCGGACAAGGCCCGGTCACTTGGTCTAGGCTCTACTGGCTAGCACAGCCAGTGGTACCGGAGCTTGTTGTATCCCTGAAATACCCCACAGTTTCTGACAGCATGATCGCGTGTCAGGTGTTCGAAGAAGATACAACAGCGTGTCACAGCGAAGTGGATTCTTCCAGGCTCGGTAGCTGGGTTCGCAAAGGCAGGCAAAGGCTTTCCCAGTAAGCCGGGAACAGATGTTTCGAGAATGCAGCTTGATGCGAAACACAGGCGTGACCAGCTCCTTCTCTTTCTCACTCCTCACACTGCAAGTGCGCTTTCAGAACAACTTCCTTCTCACCCGTGCCCTTGCTTCACTCGCGAGGAACTCACACAGTACTGGAGACTCCGAAGGGCGACGAAGCCAAGTGCAGGAGAGCGCGCGCGCATAGGGCGTATGACGATGTTGATAATTATGGTGGGGGTGGTGGTGGTCAGGATGAGGGCGGCAAGTAGGCTGAAGATGATTCTGCACCGTTTCGTCCTGCCCGTCGGTTTCCAGCAGGACTCCCCTCGCTTTGCCGTGCCAAACTGGATGCGGCCAGAGCTCCGCTGCTCGGACGAGAGGAAGAAAGACGAGGCACCCCTGGCACGTCGAAAGAAGAGTTCAAGGCTGGGAAGGTGTCAGGTCTCCTCGCGAAATGAGTTGGCTGATTGGCAGCTGGAAAGCAGGTGCATTGCTGTGTTGCCATGTTGCTCAGTTTGTGGTACCATCCGCCTCACAACATCAGACTGAAGAAGCTGCGAGAGAAAAAAGGAGGGCGCTTTGTGCTGTGCTGCTTGGCACGAGTCCAAGTCCCTGGCAGCCCCAAAAGAATAGCAATAACCGAGTGGCCATAGTCATTCCAGGGCCGGAGACTGGTCCTGCCGGCTTCAAGCTAACACCGCCTGTTGCCGTGGGATGCCGTGGGTTTTCGCGTCTCTGGTTGCTCACGATTCATGTTTCACCTTGCGAAGGCTGCTGCCTTAGTTCACCATCCCTAGAGATTCATTGGCATTTCTGTTGGGACGCACGCTCACATGTTGCGTTTACATGTAGGACCACGGCCGCTAGTCGCCAGTCACAAGAAATCTGTGGCCTTGCCAGGAGGTGCTCGTCTCTACAGACCTTGGAGGTGGATGCAGTAGATACAGCTGTCGATGTTTACAGGGGAGTTTGGCAGACGAGAGCTCCTAGATCTCTAGCCCTGCAGTCTCAAGATGTATCCATAGCTGCTGGTCGGCGGCGAGTCTATTCATCCAGGTGTTGTCCAAACTGACCGTATTGGCCCACCAGAGCAAAAGACAACTGGAGCGAGCACTGCGTGAGAGATATCCTCGCGAGTCGAACTGGGACCAGAGCCTGTTCTGGAAATCCCACACACTGGGTCCCACGGTTGTACTCTGGTCGAGGCGAGCGCCCCCCATAACACGTCCTACAGAAACCGAGAGGCTTGCCGCTGTGAAGACCACAAGACCTGAACCATCTACGTCCCTGCTGTGAGCACTGACCTCGTCGAATCTCGTCTTGGTCATCCCAAGAGCCACAGTGTGAGACTACGGCTACTGAGCTACTGCTACTGCTGCTACCACTCCCGCCACCACCACCGCCACCGCTACTGCTACTCCTCCTTGTGCTGCTGCTAGTAGTAGTAGTAGTAGTAGTAGTAGTAGTAGTAGTAGTAGTAGTAGTAGTAGTAGTAGTAGTAGTAGCAGTCGTCGTGGTGGTGGTGTAGTAGAGGTAGGAGGGAGTGGGAAGGAGGAGAAGGAGTCGGACGGAGCAGGAGCAGTGGCGGCCCTGCTGCTGCTGCTGCTGCTGCCTGCGGCTGACACTGCGTGTAACTCTGACGTCGTACGCAAAGCGGGTGTTTCAGTCTTCCCCCAGTTTACTTGACAAGTTGTCAGGGACGGAGCAGGCCAATAATGGTGACATTGATGAGGCACCGGCACCGGCTGTAGATTGCGGATTCGAGGTATTTGTATCTAGTCAAACTAAACCTGGAGTTATATGGAGTGTTGGATTGTGCAAACATGTAATGATAATGGGCAGAGCAGTGATTTCTGCTACTGTCCGCAGGTTCACGGTTCACCACATGCTTGCGTAAGAAGCGTGTGACGGCCCGTCCTGGCATGCATGCGGGTTCCATGTACATGTGAGAACATCGTATAAGACTGTCTATCCCTGTTTGTGTGAATGTTGTAGTCGCTTCGACGTCTGATCCGGCACGTAAATTTCGTGCTTTCTGCTTCTTAGCCACACCACACCAGATTGAGGACCCCAGAATCTGGCACGCTTAAGACTTCAGCTCAAACGCGCTGCAATTCTTAAAACGGCATCAGCGACCACAATAAACATGGACAGCAACACCTTGGGACATTGAGTGCTTAGGGAACTGCGTGTGCTGACCCTCAACATCGGATGCTTGCTTGTGCTGATTTGACGGCATTCAGGAGACTGCGACCAACACCTCGTCGAGCAGCCGTCTCCCCAGAATGCTCTTGCACCATGGCAACTGTTGAGGAAACGGGGCGACGGATCTTAGCTCTCTTTCGAGGGAAGGGGCTTGCCAATACACGCGTTGCATCCAGACGACATCAGCGAGTCCTTCGACAACGTGGCACCCCTACCTGGACAGGAGGTACCAACATGAGTCGGCTAGGAGTTGGGGTTCAAGCAACATGTCACCGAGCAGCGAGAAATTGGTCGGCCGCCCTTGCATCTCCGAAAGTACAGTACTGTGCATACGACCAAAGCGGCACAAGCCTAGTCGGCCTAGCCCCAATGCCCCGAGACTGAAGGAGAAGCGATGCTACTTGCGGAACATTCTGTTTCTCTGTGACCCTTAAGAAACACAATCTGTCACTCTGTCGTTGGGGGCCGGGGTGGCTTACATAACCTTTGAGGCATCGTTGGGGTGGCATGTGCTTTGCTTGAATTCACCA